CCCGTATATCCGATCTCCCCATTCCCCACTCTCACCTCAGCATCACAGAGCGGCATCCTCTGCAGATAGTCCGAGGACCCACAATGCATTGCGCCCCAGGTCATTTGTAGCTCCTCCATGGCGCGGTGTAGAACATTCTCGGACACACTGGAGGTGCTTGGGGTGAAGGCCAGCTCTAGAAGGACCGTCAGATCTCTGGGGAGAGATTAGTTTTAGTTTTAGTAAGTGTTTACGGCACTTGCAACACAATAAGGTCATACAAGTGTCGAAGATTAGAGGTGTTACAAGAGAGTAACAAACACAAAAAAAGAAGGAGGGGAGGCAAAGACGATAGACATTTGATAGGAAAGAAGGAGCAAACCACACCAGAGCACCCGTCAACCACCCACCAAGAGCCCCCAAAGAGAGCACAACTGACAGTATCACTTACAAAATGTTTTGCGACAGTTTTGAGATTCCGTTGGAGACGGCGAAAATGTTGAGCATTCGTCTGGACTTGGCCGAAACTGAGAGATCTACTCCTTCCACATCCTGGAAGACGAAAATAAAGAGGAAAAAATGTGTCACGACGCAGTGGTGAAATCAGGCATTCGTCAAAAAAACCCAAACAAACACCGGGCTAACGCATTTTTCTATCGTTTGACAATTTTTATCGAATTTTTGTTTTTGTGACTCAGCACATTGAAGGTCCATTTAAAACCGCATTTCTGTTTGGGTTTTACTGAAAAATGATTTTAAGGCACAGAAATGTTACATTTTGCGGCCATTTTCTCGCTTATTTTACTTCTGAAACAAGGCTACTCCCACCTCCTTCAATCGTAAATATCTCGACTTCTATTCATGATAGATGAGTACTCATTTCACTGAAAGCAAGACAAGATGATAAGGAGGACAAGCTTTAAGATGATACCAATTACTCCACATGTCCAAAAATTGAGGAGCGCCTGATTCCACCGTGTCTTGACACAAATGTGTCTGTCTCCAAAAATTAGTAGCGCCGACACCCGTTCTCTACCTAAATCTACACAGCTGCTGCTTACTAAAGCAGGGAGCTTGGTGCTTTTGTTTTAAAGCCTTTAGCAATAACAGTATAGTATTAAGTATAACAGAAGCCTCCAGCAATGAAGTATTTCGTATCACAATAACTATTGTCTCCAGCAATGAAGCATTTCGTATCACAATAACTATTGTCTCCAGCAATGAAGCATTTCGCATCACAATAACTATTGTCTCCAGCAATGAAGCATTTCGCATCACAATAACTATTGTCTCCAGCAATGAAGCATTTCGTATCACAATAACTATTGTCTCCAGCAATGAAGTATTCCGTATCACAATAACTATTGTCTCCAGCAATGAAGCATTTCGTATCACAATAACTATTGTCTCCAGCAATGAAGTATTCCGTATCACAATAACTATTGTCTCCAGCAATGAAGTATTTCGTATCACAATAACTATTGTCTCCAGCAATGAAGTATTTCGTATCACAATAACTATTGTCTCCAGCAATGAAGCATTTCGTATCACAATAACTATTGTCTCCAGCAATGAAGCATTTCGTATCACAATAACTATTGTCTCCAGCAATGAAGTATTTCGTATCACAATAACTATTGTCTCCAGCAATGAAGTATTTCGTATCACAATAACTATTGTCTCCAGCAATGAAGTATTTCGTATCACAATAACTATTGTCTCCAGCAATGAAGTATTTCGTATCACAATAACTATTGTCTCCAGCAATGAAGCATTCCGTATCACAATAACTATTGTCTCCAGCAATGATGCATTTCGTATCACAATAACTATTGTCTCCAGCAATGAAGTATTTCGTATCACAATAACTATTGTCTCCAGCAATGAAGTATTTCGTATCACAATAACTATTGTCTCCAGCAATGAAGCATTTCGTATCACAATAACTATTGTCTCCAGCAATGAAGCATTTCGTATCACAATAACTATTGTCTCCAGCAATAAAATATTCCTTTCTATAAATGTCTGTTACAATGCAGCATAATATTCTGTATTACGATAGTCTTTTACAAAACGCTATTCCGTATTATAAGTCTTTTGCAATAAAATATTACAGTAGTCTTTAAAGTCTCGTGTTACAATAGTCTTTTTTATTTTTAGAAATACAGAAACTTTCAAAGAGATCTTCGTGCTAGAAGTATTCTAAAATGAGAAGAATACAACCCCGAGGGTACAGAATGACCCCATGGCGCACGGATAGGGTTTTAAAAAACTGCTTTCTTACCTTCAAATTCGATGCTGCATGTTTGTGCACGATCAATGACGCTTGATGATAGTCCTCGGCAGAGAAAAAACAGCCTTGCAGTTGTGTCTGAAAAGTGAACAAGAGACACCCTCTTGTATTTACAAGCTGTAATTGTGAGAAGGAACGTTATTGAGGCTGTATGGTGCTATCTAGATGTGTCGCTGCCCTTTTAACCTATCTATCCATCCACCCACTCATCTATCCACCCATCCGTCCATCCATCCATTCATCCATCCATTCACCCATCGACCCTCCCTCCAGGCATCCACCCATCCATCCACCCATCCAACCACAACTCACCTGCCTACAGGACACAGCAATCTGCAGCCTGACCTGCCCCGTGGCTTTGCTCTTACTTCCCCGACAGACAGGGTACAGGTCAAACCAACGGTCACAGCCTTCGCTGGGGATGTCCTGGGGAGTGAATGAAAGAATGAATAATGGAATAAATGAATGAATGAATGAATGAAAGAATGAATGAATAAATGAATGAATGAAGGAAGGGGTGAATGGATGAATGGACGAATGAATGAATGAATGAGTGAATTAATGAAGGAACAAATGAATGAATGAATGAATGAGTGAATGAATGAATGAATGGATGAATGGATGAATGGATGAATGAATGAATGATTGAGTGAATTAATGAAGGAACGAATGAATGAATGAATGAGTGAATGAATGAAGGAACGAATAAGTGAAAGAATGAGTGAATAAATGAATGATTGATAAAAATGAATAAATAAATAAATAAATAAACGAAGGAACGAACGAGGAACAAACAATCGGACGAACGAATAAATAGATAGAAAGATAAATATAAAGAAAATTTTTTTTTTTAATGTGCGCGTCTTACATAATCTAATAATAGTGTTGATAAGGGCGTTGAGCGTTCAAGCAAATTACATACACTAATGTCTTATGCTTTCCACTCACCCGAATGGGAACAATGATCCTGCCAATGCAGCCAGGGATGAGTTTTTCGTGGTCTGAGCTGGCCTGCAGGATATTTTTGAAGAAACTGAAACAGAAGGAGAGAAAGTAACATTATTTGTTGAGTTCAATATAAAATCTTCATGAGCGGGAGTCAAAAAGTAATTGCTCAAAATTAATTAAATTCAGCTCACAAGTACTTGCTCATATACTTTTGAACTGAAACTGTTAAAACTAAATTTCTGTAATTTTGGCCCTAATGACGTCACATCAAAATGGCTACCCTCGGTGAGGTCTGTCAGAGGTAAAGAGCAGTGATTGAATTTCTTGTTTTATGAGGAAAATCAATCCACCGATAACATCCAAAACTTGCTTCAGAAGCCCAAGAATTTGGCTCTGTATATAGGTGGGTCAGGCGTAAGAGCAATGAACTGGAAGAAGAGGAAGAAGTGTCCATACGCTTGTCAGACAAGCATCGTCCCGAGGAGTCAGCCGGGAAAATCATAGCAATTGTGTTTTGTGACGTTCATAGCGAGAGAGAGAGAGAGGGAGAAGGAGAGAGAGAGAGAGAGAGAGAGAGAGAGAGAGAGAGAGAGAGAGAGAGAG